TCACAATTTCACATTTGTCAACATCAAAAGTGTCCAATTCGATTTTAACCCAGTGATTTTTGACAAGTGTGCACTTCTTGTTTTCAATGGAAAACAACACCTTTGCTGATGAGTCTGTTGGGAGTTTGTCGAGCCACTCGCCCCTGACGTGATTCTTGTCGGTTTGGTTGATTCTGAACCCAAAGTTGTAAACACTATTGATACCACCCAAGATGTAACTGAAACCGAGTTTAGTCTGTGTTGAGAGGATGTACGATGGAATGTAGTTACCAACTGGGCAGTTGGCATTTGTAGTGTCAACAACATATTTTCCCATAATTGGATTCTCGAGGGGAATCAACCAATATGCAGAATATCCACTTCCTGCAATTCCAAAACCGTTGCAAATGCCACATTGCTTATAATATTCTGTTGATTCCATGTACGATTTTCTGTACCCTTGACAATTGGCATTGTCAAAGATGCTCAGCTGAGTGTTTTCAATTTTGACAGAAACGCCAGTTGTGATTGTGTAACACTTGTTGCCAATGTTGTTGGGAACATCAATTTCGTAATTCAATGACGAACCAAAATAAGTGTCAATACCAACATAAACGTGCCAAAATGCAACAGGGTACTGCAAGTCGACTGGATAAGCCGCAAGTGATGCAGCAATGAGTAAGAAGACGGAGAACATTAAGTGAAAAAGGTATTTCATATTTGTTTTTATACTCAATATTTTTCATATTAAAAATAATGGAAACTAATATTAACTATATTTGGAACAAATATCTTAAATAAATCTCAAGAACACTAATGTCAGATTTTTAAGAGTTATCCACACTATCTGGATTTATTGGTAATCAAATTAAATGGTCAAATAACCCTATGGTTTTATTTGAATAGAAACAAAAATATCAAGTTGGTATGTATCTATTTTTAAAAGTTACTAAAAATAGTCAAAAATAAACAAATGAACCATGTATAATTTTAAAATTATTTCAAATATTAATAGAACATATATGATTAATTTAAATTAAGTTGAAAATGTGTATTTAACAAAAATAAAACAGTTACCTTTATGGTTATTAATAAACCGTAACAATTGAAACAACAAATAGAACATCCTTGTTCTAGATCTCTTTCGTTGTTTTTGTGTTCCAACAAATTTAAAACAGTTGTTGTTTATTATGAACCAAAAAAAACAATTTTTTATTGATCTGAAATTTTAAACTTTAGTGTTTATAATCTAACATGATTAACATAAATAATACTTTGTATTTTAAACAAGAATAATAAAATACATTAGTGTTGTTTCAATTAAGAGAATTGTTGTACGATTAAACATGTTAAATAAAATAAAAGGAAATAGTATTAAAAATTGTATTTTAATTATTATGAATTAAAAATAGTTAATCATTGTTGTCAAATTATTACAATTATTTTAAAAACATATAATGAATAATATCATTTTAAAAAAAAATATTAAAATAACAAAAGTGTTTATTAAATACTCCACGACAGTGAATGTATGATTATTATAAAAAACATACATTGATAAAAATCTCAACGACTTTAGATTTCCAATAGTAAATTTAATCACAAAGGAGTGTAATCCAAAAATAATCAGTACTAAAATGATAATAGTTATATTTTTAACTAAAAAAAACATAGTTGAATATAACTTAAATAATATTTATGTTGTTTTTGACTACAAAAAATACACATTAATTTTGAAAATATGATATTTAAAAATAATAAACAATAGTTAAATAGTACAATTTACAATTATTAATAATTGTATTGTATATATATATTATAAATGTATATAATAGTTTAATTTTGTTAAAAAATACAATATTGGTTTTAAATTTTAAAAATATACAACTTATTATCATAATAATTTATATCGATGATATTCGTTTGTTCTGTGTTGTATTATAGTTGACCAAAAAAATAACATAAAATATGTGTATATATTGATAATTAAATCAACAACAAAAATTACAAATGTTTAAATTTTATGTATTATTAAATATATATTTTAAATATCATTATGTAAGAAAGTTAAATTTGATTGTCATAATACATTTATTAGTTAATCTAAATATACACGTAAATTAATTATTTATATCAATAATATTATTAATTAAATTGCATACTTGTAAACGATAAAAATAATTACATGATAAAAAATATGTTTCCAACATATATAAATGTAACCATTTTATGTATTAAATCGATAACAAAATAAATAAAGTAATATAAAACAACAATTGAAATAAAAAAGTAAATATAATTACATGTCATTTTTTGAACTTCATTAAACTTTTACTTAAATCAATATATATATATTGATTTAGGGTGCGCAATCGCAAGAGTATAAAATCCTAAAGTGGTAGAAAGAATCTTTTGTGGTGATAACAAAGTTGATATTGCTCAAATTTCTTATATTTACTGAAAATGGTAAAAAAGAGACAAAATTCTTCTGTTTTCTGAAACGTGTACACAATTCACAATTAAAAAAACAGAAATTCCTTCTTCGAACCAAAAATGCAAAATATTTAAAAGATAAAAAAGAAATAACGGTTTTGTCAAATTTGAACAATTGAAAGTAAACTATAAAGAACTTGATTATTTAAATCAATACTTAACTTTTTTTCAAAAAAACTAAAACCTTTTAACAGATGGCAAAAAACAATTAGTGTCAACTAAAAAACCAATTAAAAATCAAATAAATTAAACGTTTATTTAATTAAAATTATATTAATCCCCAAAACAAAACTTGTATTTAAAAAATTAATAAAAAACACATACAAGAATTCAAAAAAGAAGTTTCCTTTGTTTGGAAGTATTTTGAAAAATATTGTAAGAAGTGTTCTGAACATCGCAATTTCAACGCGAGATGTTCAAATTGTAAGTAAAAAGTAAAGTGCAAATTTTGTCATAAATACCTCAGTTTTCAAGGAACAACGTCCTCTATGAGAACCCACCTTTATTCACTTCACCCCGAAAACATCGATGAGAATGACATAGACGATTTTGAAGTATTAAAAAAATACTCTCCAAAAAGTGTCGAGCTCAACACACTTTTGTTAAAATTTTTCATTACTGGAAATATTTCTTGGCGACAGGTAACAAATCCATTCTTGGTCGAGTTGATCAAGCTCCTTGACCCCAATGTGAGGCTATGTGGAACCACCACATTTAGAACTTCATTGATAAACAAAGTCTACAACAATAAAATGAAAAGTTTTATATACGAAGTCAGAGA